CCATCTTGACTTCTCTCCAGTATTTTATCCTTTTGATTGATACTGTAAATGGAATTATTTTCTTAATTTTCTATTCAGATTGTTCATTGTTAGTGTATAGAATTGCAACCGATTTTTGGCTGTTGATTTTGTGTTCTGCCAATTTGCTCAATTTGTTTATTAGTTCTAACAGGTTTCATGTGGAATCTTTAGAGTTTTCTACATATAAGATCATGGCATCTACGAACTGAGATTATTTTACTTCTTCCTTTCCAATTTTCAAGACTTTTATTTTGTTTTCTTGCCTAATTGCTCTGGATAGGACTTCCAGTACTATTTTGAATAGAAGTGGCAGAAGTGGGCATACTTTTCTTGCTCTTGATGTTAGAGGAAAAGCTTTTAGTCTTTCACCATTGAGTATGATGTTAGCTGTGGGTTGTTCATCTATTGCCTTTATTATGTTGAGGTAGGCCTTCTATCCCTGCTTTGTTGAGTGTTTTTATCATAAAAGAGTATTCAATTTTGTCAAATGCTTTTTCTGCATCTATTGAGATGATCATGTGGTATTTCCCCCTCATGCTGTTAATGTAATATATTACATTGATTGATTTTTGTATGTTGAACTATCCTTGGATTCCAGGAATAGAATCCACTTGGTCATGGCGTACAATCCTTTTAGTGTGCTGTTGAATGTTTGCTAGTGTTTCGTTGAGGATTTTTGCATCAATATTCATCAGGGGATATTGGTCTGTAGTTTTCCTTTCTTGTAGTGTCTGTCTGGGTTTTGTATCAGAGTAATGCTGGCCAATGAGAATGAATTTGGATGTATTTCCTTCTTTTCAATTTTTTTGAAGAGTTTGAGGACTGTTAATTCTTCTTTAAAGGTTTAGTAAAATTCACCAATGAAGCCATCTGGTCCTGGGCTTTTATTTGTTGGAATATATTTGATTACTTATTCTACTAGTTAGAGATCTAGTTATAAGACTGTTTAGATTTTCTATTTCTTCATGATTCAGTCTTGCTAGGTTTTGTCTTTCCAGGAATTTGTCCATTTCATCTAGGTTCCTGAATTTGTTGCTGTACAAGTCTTCATAGTATTCTCTTCTCATCTCTTTCATTTCTGTAAAGTCTTTTGTAATGTCCCTTCTTTCATTTCTGCTTTTAGTTATTTGAGTCTTCTTTCTGTATCTGGGTCAATCTAGCCAAAGGTTTGTCAATTTTATCTTTTCAAAGGACCAACCTTTAGTTTCTTTGATATTTCTCTATTATTTTTCTATACTCTGATTCATTTATCTTTGCTCCAACCTTTATTATTTCTTTCTTTCTGTTAGCTTTAGGGTTAGCTTGTTCTTTTCCTAATTCCTTAAGGTATAAAGTTAAGTTGTAGACTTAGAATCTTTCTTCTCTTTTAATGTAAATGTTTATAGCTATACATTTCCCTCTTAGCACTGCTTTGATGCATCCCATATATTTGGGAATGTTGTGTTTTCATTTCAATTTGTCTCAAGATATTTTCTAATTTCCCTTGTGATTACTTCTTTGACTCACTGGTTGTTTCAAAGTTTAATTTCTGCATATTTATGGATTTTCCAGCCTTCCTTCTCCTATAAATTTCTAGTTTCATTCCATTGTGATCAAACAAGACACTTTGTATAATTTCAATCTTATTAAATTTATTAAGACTTGTTTTGTGGCCTACCATATGGCCTATGCTGGAAAATGTTCTGTGAACACTTGAGAAGACTGTGTTTTCTGCTGTAATTGGGTGGAGTATTCTGTATACATCTATTAGGTCCAGTTGGTCTATAATGTTCTTCTAGTTCTCTATTTCCTTACTTATCATCTATGTAATTTCTCTATCCATTATTGAAAGTGGAGATTGAAGTCTCCTACTATTATTACAGATCTGTCTCCTTTTCCCTTTGATTATGCTAGTGTTTATTTTACATATTTAGGAACTCTGATGTTTGATGGATATATAATTATAATTGTTATTTCTTCTTGGTGAATTGACTCTTCTATCATTATATTCTGTCCTTCTTTGTCTCTTGCAACACTTTTTGACTTAAAGTCTATTTTGTGTGATAGTATAGCCACTTCTGCTTTTTTTGGTTACTATTTAGTAATTACTGATTATGAGGTTCTCATTTATTGCCATTTTGTTGTTTTCTGTATGTTTAATAGCTTTTTTTCTCCCTCATTTCCTCTCTTACTGCCTTCCTTTGTGTTTAATTGAATTTTTTTGTAATAACGTGCTTTGATTCCCTTATCATTTCTTTTTTTGTATATTATATAGATATTTTTTTGTGGTTAACATGGGGATTATATAAAATATCTTGAAGTTATGACAACCTTTTAAAAAATGACAGCAACTTAATTGCAATCACATATAAAAATTTATTCTTTTGCAACTTCACCCCTCTCACTTCATGTTACTGATGTTCAAATTACATCTTTATATATTGTATACCCACAAATTTATAGTTATTTTAATTTCATATGATCTGTCTTCTAGTTTGCTGATTCTTTCTTTTGCCTAAGTCTGATGTTGAACTCCCCTAGTGTACTTTTCAATTCAGTTATTGTATTTTTCAGCTCCAGAATTTGTTTCGTTCCTTTTTTATGGTTTCTAACTTCTTGTTGGTATTCTCATTTTGTTTAAGCATTGTTTTCCTGATTTTGTTTTGTTGTTTGTGTTATCTTTTAGCTCACTGAGCATCTTTAAAACAGTCATTTTAAATTCCTCGTCAAGTGTCTCAGAGGCTTACATTTCTTTAGGATCAGTTTCTGGATATTCGTTTTCTTCCTTTGAGTGGAACAAGTTTCCCTGTTTCTTTATACACTTTGTGATCTTTTGTTGAGATGTGGGCATTTGAAAATACGGCCACCTTTCTCAGTCTTTATGGACTGGTTTTGTGCAGGGGAAGATCTTTACTAATCAGCCCAGCATAAAGGATCTTCATCCTCTCAAACCTTTTCTGGGATGTGTCTTATGCATGGGCTTTTATTCCGGTTCCTGGTCTTGTGGCTGCTTTAAATTTCTTAATTTGCCTAAGAATCTTGCCCCTACTTCTTCTTAGAAGACTAGGGTTTCTATTGTATTACTCTGCCCATAATCTCTTGCTCCCAGGTGCCCCCAGGACTGTAGACTCCCTGCAGCTCTAATGTACTGTGTTGTCCACCACTGCTGTCAGCAACATCCAACCTGATATCCAAACTGTGCCACCGTTACTATCAGTGCTCCAAGTCAGGTGAGACAGAAACCAGACCCTTGGGGAGCCCCTAGACAAGCCAGAACATTGCAAACAAGTTCCAATCTTTCCCTTATATCCTAAGGGAGGAACCAAGAATTGGGCAGCTTTCTCCTGATCATATCACTCTGTTCTGGGTAGGGGGAAGGGCAAGGGTGAGCAAGAAGCAATGAAATTTGCTATTGTTTTGGGTGCAGTTTTTTCTTGATTAGGGGTTTCCTTAATTGCTTCAGCTTCTTAACTGATTTCTAGAGTTCTCACAAAGCTATCTTTGTCTGTATATCATTGTTAATTTGGTGTCTCCATGGGAGAACTAGGATCTGGAGTTTCCTAGTCTGCTGTCTTTTGGGCACTACTGTATTAAGATTACTTTTTACATGATAAATATTTTTCTATCCTTTTACTTTCAAACCTAGTATTTAGCTTTTGCATCTAAAAGATATAGACAGCATATAGTGGGATCTTACTTTTTTTTTTTTTTTGGTGAGGAAGATTAGCCCTGAGTTAACATCTGTTGCCAATCCTCCTCTTTTTGCTGAGGAAGATTGGCCCTGGGCTAACATCTGTGCCCATCTTTCCCTTACTTTACATGTGGGACACCTGCCACAGCATGGCTTGATAAGTGATGCATATGTCTGCGCCCAGGATCCGAACCTGTGAACCCCAGGCTGCCGAAGCACAGTGAGTGAATTTAACCACTATGCCACCAGGCCGGGCCCTGGATCTTACTTTTTATTCAGTTTGACAATCTCTGCCTTTTGTTTGGACTTTTTAGTCCATTCACATTTAATAGAATTACTGATGTAGTGATATAGACATATATCTGCCATTTTGCTATTTGTTTTTTTGTGTGACTCAGGTCTTTTTTTCCCCTTTTTTGCTCCTTTACTGTATTCTTTTCTGTTTATCAAAAAATTTTGTGTGTACCATTTTAATTCCTCTCTTGTTTTAAACTATATTTAGTTATTTATATTTATATTTAGTTAATATATGTTATTATTTAGCAGTTTTTAAGAGTTCTTTTAAAGAGTTTTTAAGATGGATTTTAGGAATCCATCTCTCCTGCAATGGGCAGCCACTGATGTCTTTGCTCAGTTTTTTATTCTTGTTTTTATTTAATAGTCTTGCTTCCTAGGGGCACCCCTGTGTCTGCATAGCTGAGTGGTCAGCCAAGGATTTGAGTACAGGTTGTGCTCAAACACCCAGAACCCCTAAGCTCCCAAGATATGCTGATTAATATGGGTGTGAGTTGGGGAATGCACTCACAGTTGTAGGCACTTCTCAAGTTGTCCTTGGCTTTTACTTTCTGCTGTGCTCTTTTGGTCTTTCTTGAACATATGTGTAGTTTTTCCAGTCAGCCAGTAATGTGTGTAGAACTTATCTCAATTCTTTTATAGCTTTCTCATTTCCAGGATTCTGTCTGGTCCAGAGCTCACCCCTTCTGGGATCACAGCCCCGAGTTAGCTAAACTAAATGTGTTCTCTTTTCATTCCAAACCAATTTCACCACTTTTACCTGGCAAGATCACAGGATATTTAACGCCACCCCCCCCACCCCAATTCAGTCTTCCTTTTGGCAACAAAGCTGATGATTTTCAAGGCCACCTCTGTGCTGGTAAAACTACTTTTTTACTGTCTAAGCTGGTAGGTGGAGGATGGGAGCAGTTCCAGGTAAGAAGGTCACAGACTCCTGCTGTTCTTACCTGAAAACTCTTGCAGTTTTTCAACAACATTCTCAGTTTGTTGTCTGCCCTTGGTCAATTTACAGCGCTCCCAAATTGTTGCTTTTGACTATTTTGTCCAATTTTATACTTTTTTTTCTCATGAAGAGGAATCATGGATCTTCACACCACCATAAAAGGAAGTTTCTCCTCTCCCACTGTTATGGACTGACTTCTGTCCCCCAACCCCCAAATTCATATGTTGAAGCCCTAACTTCTATTGTGTTTGGACATAAGGCCTTTAAAAATGTAATTTAGGTTAATGGGGTTATGAAGATGGGGCCCTAATCTGACAGGGCTCATGTCCTTATAAGAAGAGGAAGAGATACCAGGAATGTGCACACACAAAGGAAAGGCCGTGTGAGGACACAGCAAGAAGGCAGTGATCTGCAAGCCAAGGAGAGAGGCAACTGGAAAAACCAAACCTACCAGTACCTGATCTTGGACTTCTAGCCTCCAAAATTGTGAGAAAATAAATTTTCATTGTTTAAGCCACCCAGTCCGTGGCGTTTTGTTATTGCAGCCCTAGCAGGCTAATACACCCTTGTGTCTTGAAGCTACTTTAATCAGATTGTTTTTTAAAGAATTAATTAATTAGTTAATTAATTATTTTTGCAGGAAAAGATTTGTGCTGAGCTAACATCTGCTCCAATCTTCCTCTTTATTCTTCTGCCCAGAGCCCCAGTGCATGCTTGTATATCCTAAGTTGTAGGTCAGCCACAGCACAGCAACTGACAGACGGATGGTGTGGTTCTGCAACCAGGAAAGAAACCTGGGCCGCCGAAGTGGTGAGAGCACAAAACTTTAACCACTAGGCCATCAGGGCTGGCTCTTAATCAGATTTCTGCCCCATAATTGTAATAAAACTTATCTTGGTCTTGTCACTCAATTCTCAGTCTTCTAGTCTCTCAGTCCAGATCGCCAGATCCTCTTGATCTATTAGCAGGATTTGACATAGTTGATCACTTCCTCTGCTTTGAAATACTTTGTTTGCTTCTGATGTTGCACTCTGTACTCATTTTTCTCCATCGTCACCAGCCACTCCTCCCTAGTCTTCTTTGCCGATTCTTCTACATGTGTCCAGCTTCCTAATGTGGAATGCTCCAGGAGTCAGGCATTTTACCTCCTATCTTCTCTATCTCTGTCGTTTCCTTGGTTATATCATTTAACATCATGGCTTTAAACACCATCGGAAGATGATGAAGCCTAAATTGCTATCTCCAGCCAGACCTCTTTCCTAAACTGCAAACTCCCATATCCATATGCATGCTGGACATCTCCATTTGTATATCTAACTTAAATTTAACATGTCCAAAATGGAACTCTTAGTTAGCAAATGAGGTGAGTTTCCACCTAAATTAATGACTATTTAATTATTTCATTTGCTCAAGCAAAAAATACTGAAGTCTTTTTGTCTCTAACATGTATCCTACTTTGGCTGCTGTTTTTCTCTACTCCACTTGGAAGCCAGCGTAATCCCATTAAAACATGTCAGATATCTTCACTCCTCTGCTCAAAACCTTCTATTGCTTTCCGTCTCCTTCAGAGTAAAAGTCAATGTTCTTCTAAGTCCTTTTGAAGGCTATATACAGTCTGGGCCCCATTGCCCCTCTGACCTCATCTGATTCTCTCTCTCTTTTCCAACCTTCTGACCTCTTCATTCTTCCTCACATGTGACACACACACTCCTACATTTAGGCTTTGCATATGCCTTTCCCCCTCTTTGCAATACTTTCTTCCTTCCTTCAAGTCTTTGCCTAAATGTCAACTTTTTAGAGAGGCCCTCTCTGACTAACCTACTTAAAAGTGCAACCGCCTCTCTGCTCCACACTTCTTATCTCTCATCTCTGCCTTATTTCCGAGGAGTATTATTATCTTGGAACATGCTATATTTTTTGCTTTTTTGTTTACTGCCTGTCTCCCTTCACTAGAATATAATTTCCATGAGGGCAGGGGTTCTTTTTTCTGTCTTGTTCATTGCTGTATCCATGGTGCCTGGAAGAATGCCTGACATGTAAGAGATATTCAGTAAATATTAGTTGAATAAATAGATCTCTGTTTCAAAACTGGATCCAGAAAGGAACTTGTTTTTTCATTTGTGTGTCCTCAACTCAAAGCACAGAACCTGTCCCAGAGGGGCCACACACGCACACACTAGCAATAGTGAGAGTCCAAACTACTCCCGTTCCCGAAGAAGCAACTGTGTGGAAGGGCTCTACAGGTGAGCTGTACCAAATATTCAACTAACAGACAATCCCTGTTTTGGACGATAACTTCTAGAATATAGTTATATAGGAAAAGCAGATCAATGCATTTTATGAACCTGGAATGACCTTGATGTCAAACTGAAAAGGGTAGCTTGAGAAAAGAAAACTACAGGCTGATCTCACTTTATAAACATAAATACAAATAATCTCAAACAAAAGATTAGTCAGTGAACTCTAATATTGTAAAATAAAATTTAAAAGTCAGACATTTTTTTAAATATTTATTTTTTATTGTGGTAACAATGGTTTATAACATTGTATAAATTTCAGGTGTACATCCTTATACTTCTATTTCTGCATAGATCACATCATGTTCACCACCCAAATACTAATTACAGTCCATCACCACACACATGTGCCTAAATCATCCCTTTTGGTCCCCTCCCTCCTTCCTTCTCCTCTGGTAACCACCAATCCAATCTGTCTCCATGTGTTTGTTTGTTGTTGTTTTTATCTTCTACTTATGAGTGAGATCATACGGTATTTGACCTTCTCCCTCTGACTTATTTCACTTAACATAATATCCTCAAGGTCCGTCCATGTTGTCACAAATGGCTGGATTTCATTGTTTCTTATGACTGAGTAGTATTCCATTGTGTATATATACCACATCTTCTTCATCCATTTGTCCCATGATGAGCACTTAGGTTGCTTCCAAGTCTTGGGTATTGTGAATAATGCTGCAATCAACACAGGGGTGCATGTATCTTTATTCATTGGTGTTTTCATGTTCTTTGGATAAATACCCAGCAGCGGAATAGCTGGATCATATGGTAGTTCTATCCCTAATTTTTTGAGGAATCTCCATACCGTTTTCCATAGTGGCTGCACCAGTTTGCACTCCCACCAGCAGTGTACGAGAGTTCCCTTCTCTCCACATCCTCTCCAACACATGTTGTTTCCTGTCCTGTTAATTATAGCCATTCTGACGGGTGTGAGGTGATATCTCATTGTAGTTTTGATTTGCATTTCCCTAATAGTTAATGATGTTGAACATCTTTTCATGTGTCTGTTGGCCATCTGCATATCTTCTTTGGAGAAATGTCTGTTTAGGTCTTTTGCCCATTTTTTAATTGGGTTGTTAGTTTTTTGTTGTTGAGCTGTATGAGTTCTTTATGTATTTTGGATATTAACCCCTTATTAGATATATGGTTTGCAAATATCTTCTCCCAATTGTTAGGTTGTCTTTTCCTTTAAAGACAGGCCCAGGATCAACTCTTCTAGCTCCACGGCTTGTAACTGTGTGGCCTTGGCAAACTCAACTTCTTAAAGCCTCAGTTTCCTTATTTTAGATATAGGATTGATAAATTCTATCTCATTCATCCATGATTTCATTCATTCTATTTTTATTAGAGTACTTGTTTTGTGCCCTACATTGACTGCCCTTGGTACTGTGACCTCGGCACAGTTGCTGCCGTGGTGGTGTGTGAAGATTAAATAGGTGGAAATGTATTAACACAGCACAGTCCCTGGCACATAGTAGGTGCTTAAAAGGATGGATTCCTTTCTTACATCCAATCCTCTAGCCAAACTCTCAATAGTGTCACTACCTCATTTTCGTACTCATTCTCATGTCTCAAATGTCACCTCCCAAGCGAGCCCATCCCTGGCCATCCCATCTAAATAGCTCGCTGTCCCTTTGTATCATAATCACCCTGTCTGATTTTCTTCATAGCACTTTTCACTTTCTAAACTTATCTTTCAAATGTTTTTTCCTTTTGCTATCTGTGTCCCTCTCTGAAAATATAAGCTTCATGAAAGCAGGGACCTGTTTGCTTTGTTCTCCGCTGTGTCCCCAGCACCTGGAAGCATGCCTGGCACAGGAAGTGCTCCACGAATAACGTGGGGGGTGAAATGACTGAGTGCCCGTGTCTTTTTCCTCTCTGTAGCTCTGGTGCCAGGCACAGGGCTTGGCCCAGAGCAGGGGCTCAGAAAGTGTGTGGAATGAAATTCTTGTCGTGTATCAGCCATGGGGTCTCTTTCTTACCTGGTTTCGGTGTAAGCTGCTTCTTCACAAAGCTCTGCGGCGTGGAAAGTCTTGGGTGTGACTTTGGCGTGTATGGTGCACCTGGAGTGGAGCCAACACTCTATCCTTCGAGGCATGCCTATAAATACCCATAGGACACAAGCCCTGCATTTCCAGCATTATGCATCTGAGTAAAACCCTGCTTCCCCCCGCCTGCTGCTCTGCCTCCCAGGGAGC